CGTCGAGGTCGGATGCCGATAGACATTCACGGAAATAGGGGGCTGCGGATACGTTCAGAGACTAGTTTGAAAAAAGTCGAGAGTTTGCATACCCAGAGGTGTCTCTACCAAGACACTTTGATACAATTCTTCGACATTGGTTGCGACACACAAGGCCGGCATCGTGTCAAACACACCCAGGGGATGACACCGCTCGAGCAACTCGTGTGTATCCCGCTCATGAAGCGTCCCAGTGATCAAAAGAATGACGTTGTCAATCATGTATGCATATCTAGTACGTTTTCAGTACGTCAACGTGGTCAGTTGAGAAGGCCACGAACGTCATGTAATCGAGAAACTTGTCGAGCGGTGCTACAGCGTTGCTTCTCAAGTAGTGGAACTGGTCCACCATGACTTGCGTTGCCTTTTCCGAGATAGTTGAGGTGGAAATAGGTAGCGGCTCGTTGGCGAGAAAGTTGCCATAGTCTGTGGCGGACAGTTGCATGCGAAAGTCTATAAATAACATGAGAAACGAGGCCGTAAATTGTACTCTTCTCTTTTACCTTCCAAAGTTTCGCATTGTGTCAAGGTGGCATACTGGCCCTGTGTCAAAAGGCCCGCCTTGTAACCTCGCACAATACCCTCGAGATAACCAGCGTTCACCTGCGTGTTATGTTGTTAGAACGAGTAGAGTAGCTGCTGGACAACCCTACGTTGAAAAATAGGCCCTCCATTGCGTCGGAATCGATACGCGCAATGAGACGGTCGGGTCCAATTCACTCTGCACCTCGCCTCGCATGGGCCAAGCACTCCAGCGCACACTCTGACTGGCCCAGTGAGGAGGCAACTGTTAGCGCTGTCCTCGTCGCACTCGAAACTTGGTCTCTGCCACTTTTAGACAAATTTTGGAATATTTTTCCAAATTTCATTTGGGAGGTCGCACTAGTGTTGACCGCTGCCCATCGCCTGTTGGAACCCGACAAAACACTGCCACGCCGCCATCGCTGAATGGTAGTTCCATCGACTGGTCTAAACCTCTCTGGATCATCCAAGAGAGATCTAGTCCTCATAGCTTCTGGAACTGTGCTCGCCCACCCGGTCTCGGGCGTCGTAATCGTCGCTTTTGTCGTTGCGGGATGTACGTGAGGCTCTCTACCAGGCTGCAAGCACTGTGCTAACGTTCATTCGCCTCTCTACAGTCTTTGGAGTCCTGCTCCTTGCCCGTATCTGGGCAGTTTTGAGGAATTTTGTGCAAACTCATCGACGCCAAGGGAATACGAGCGCACCAAACCCCTCCACCACACCCG